AAAAAAAAAAAAAAAAAAAAAAAAAAAAAAATTAAGAAAAATTATTATATAAATGAATACAATAAAATAAACTATGACAAAGAAAAACAACCAGAGTCTGATAAATATTGTTGCACGGAAAGAAATAGTTTCATTTTCAAAGGAAGATAGATCTTTGGAGCCGTGCAAGAGGAAAAAAGTTTTTAAAAATTAGACTAATTGTTAATAAGTTGTGCAGCTGAGGTAAGTAGCACATGGCATCGCGTCGAGCAGAGTACTGCGGGGCCAAAACAGAAGAAAATGTTGAACTGACTCTTTTACACCCTGTTGACATACACAATCCTGGCTCATGCTACGATTGATTTTGAACGAATTCAAAGAGCAATAACCTAAACACAACCGAGTATGTAACACCGAAGCGTAACGAGTAAGAGATATGCTATGAATTTTGTTATATTCGCGGGGGTAAAAAAAACTGATGAACTTTCTTTTTGAACAGAGAATTAGAATTTTAGGTTACGAAAATTTTGGTATAAAAATTTCCAAGATAAAACAGATGAGGGAAATATAGAACTTCTAAATCTTTCGGTACGAACTCTAAAACAAGTGTAATTATTACCTTTTCTAAAAGAAAAACTAGATATTTCACAAAATCTAGGAGGTAACAAACTTCTCAAGTAAGATGGGATATAGCCATTTACAATTTGAAAAAAAAGTCAATTTATGGATGGATCTTCTGGTTTCTAAATCTTCCCAGCAAAGCTCACTTAGCAACCGTTGCTTACTAGTTTCTTTTAAGGCACCTGTTACGATAATAGCTGATTTGTATTGGAGAGTTTCTAAAAGATTAGATAAAAGAGCACTGCATCCATTCCAAACACAATCAGCATATTCCATGACAGGTCTTATCATAGTTTTATAGAGGTTAATCAGGGTATCTCTGCTTAATTCATATTTGAGTCCTTTTAGCATGTGTACACGTTTTGGGGCTTTTTGGTGAATTCAATATACACCTACTTGCAAGAACGTTGACATACGAATATAGAGCATTAGTGATTTAGTGTGATAGGAATTACATTGAAAAACAAAAGAAGATCACTGAAGCTGAACATTTCATTTGTCTTTTATTGTATTCCTTTCTCACTAAATTGCTAATGTTCTAATATCATATGACAACGTTCTTGCAAGTAGGTGTATATGTCTTGAAATTGGTATTCTGTCCTTTCTAGGCTGACTGCGCATGTGACTTTTACGGCTGCTTTCATAAGCCAATTCGTAGTTTAAGAATCGCTTTTTTAGTGCGCACGCGATTTTATCCCGAATTTCTCACCTACTTTTGTTAAAGTGCATATAACACGAAAAAAAATAATTTAAAAAATGCGTAGTTTATTGGCATTGATAAGAATATCATGGTTAAATTTGTTTCAAAAACGTATTTCTCGAGTAATTCAAGAAAATTTAGCACAAGTTGTGACGTCATTTTGTTTACAAGTCTCCAGATTTAGTTGCAAATACACGAAATATGTTTGAATGTAGAATCTTAATTTCAGGCAGTACACTTTTCAGTTCCCCAACAGTTGAAGAATACTCTGAAGCTATCAAATGAAGCTGAATAGAATATGCAWWTTGTTGTTATTTTAYACGAATTACAATTTATATTTAGTGCATTACTACCCAATCTAGAGTATGTGTCAACAAGATGACGTCACAAATTGGGATTAATTTTCTCAAATATCTCAAGAAATATGCTTTTGAAACAAATTTCATTACGATAAATTTATTATTATTAACAAACTCTACATTTTAAACGATGAAATATTTTCGTGTCATATACACTACACTTTAAACCTTCTTTTGTTCTTAATCAAACATAAGAAGGTGAGAAATTCGGGATAAAATCGCGTGCGCACTAAAAAGCGATTCTTATACTATGAACTGGCTTATTCAACCAAAGTTTTATATATTATTCGGCGTGATTTTTTTGAGCTGTTCAATGAAACTGCAGATTCAGCTCTAAAACCTCCGAAACTACTTACTACGCCTCATGATTTTAAATCTGTTGTTAAAGCCTACAAACATAAAGGTTCAATAAAACAATTTTACGAACATCTGCAGGCGATGTATACCGCTGGCAAGAGTGATCAAACCTAAAGAAGAAGGTGCAGCAGAGATTTGCTATCGTGACATCGCGGCGGGAAATATCCACGATTTGTTCCACACAAGACTTAGTATCCATAAAAAGGCCTGTCAGCATAAGACAGTAAACGCCATCGAAATGATGTAAGTCAAGTATTACAATGTCTCCCAGTTACAGTAATTGCAAACGAGCAAGTTTTTTATGACAAGTGTACTTTTCAAGTTTTACTTGCTCATGTGTATGAAAAACACATTACAAGTTTTGACATGTTTTATTTGGTTGTTTACGCGAAWAAATTTTGAAGCTATTTTAGCAAGTCTCTGAAAATTTTTTGTAGCGACAGCTGGACAGCTAGACCAAGCGACCGCCGAGCGCCCGCGATTCCTCGTCAAGTTTCCCAGTCAAGATTTTCTTGACAAGTTGCTTTGTTCATAAAGCTAGCATGCTAGCTCTTGTGGAGCAAGTGCACTTGACAAGGAAAATCTTCATAAGTTTTTATTTACACATGCACGAGCAAGTCAATCTTGTCACAGAAAACTTGCTTGTCATTAACGTGCTTAACTTAGGCCCCGTCCACACTATGCCGGATAAATTTGAATCCGCAGGCTTTCACGCCGAAACCGAATTTTTGAATTTTTAGCCTTCCCGCCATGTTCCCATGACAATCATGACGTCATGGTATTCGAAAAATTTTGGATACGAAATGTTCTCCGTCCACACTTATACGGCTAGCCGGCGTTTTCAAATTGTTCCACTCTGTAGACCGTATTCGAAAAAACTCGTTTTCGGCAAAGAATTGTTCCGGATTCGCCCGGAATGGTGTGGACGGTAGGCCTAACCGAAAAATTTAAATTCGGATTCAAATTTACCTGGCATAGTGTGGACGGGGCCTCAAGTCTATTTTACCAGATATAAAGTTGGCCTGCTCATAGGGTATAGCTTGCAAAAAGCCAGCCAGCTCTAAGATAATAGTAGCTGATTAGAACCTTTGGAGTAGCACGGCGTCATTTGCCGGAACGAGTATTTCCATGATTGCGCAGAACGATCTGCCAGACGATACCTGTGTTAGGCTGATCTACGAGGATAATTAATCATAGATTATAACTGCTGAAGCCCTATTCTCTGTATATGTCTGCTGCTGATACGACTATTTATTCTTAGATTACAACTGTTAACGGGAGATTATGTTTAAATTTGTTTTACAGGATAACTGAGGCTCTAGTAAAGGCAGAACCACATTTTACAATCGAAGGAAAAGATGGGCGGTAAGCTTTGTTTCGACCCCTTAAACTGGAATCCTGGATTTTTATACAAGGTGCAATAAGCCCATTTACACAAAAAACATGCTAAAAATAAACATTAAAAATAATGCCTTTCAATGGACGCCGAGTTAAATAAGGGTCATTCAGCTGTTGATGGCACATGAAAGGCATTGTTCTCTACCCGATTTCGTAAACCGACGACCAACTTAATTTTAGCTAGTTGATATAACAAAGTTATTTTTAAGATTGGTTTAACTATTTAACATCTTTGTCAAACGTATAGAGAAAGTACGATATCGAAAGCGATAGATGCTAATGACATGGTTGCCTACACTAAACTGACAGACCGCGTGTATTATCAAATCCTCTATTCAAGTGATAAGGGCTTAAAAGAGGTAAGAACAGTAGTTTGGTTATTAAAAACATACATGAAAAAAATACTCAAAGTAATTTGCAAAGTCAGCCAATCCAAATGTCTATATTCATAATGATTCAGATGTACTTTTAAGTAAAAAAAAAACTTTTTACAATCAACATATATATAGCCAAATTTTGGTTTTAAATAAATAAATAAACTTTTTGAATTTGAAACCAAAATCGCTTTGAATATAGTTGGTTGTGAACGAACGAATTTCATAAAATATTAGAGAGTTTTAGATTGACTTTTTTTCTCCCCGCAAACGGCAAACTTGACCACGTTTTTATCGTTTTCCTGTATTTTACTTTACCTCTAGCAAACTTTCTCACCACACACAAATTTTTTTCCTACTACTTAGATTTTTTGATATTCGTTTTCAGTAATTTAAAAGCATTTTTCACTGGTCAGCTGACGTTTCACGTTTGCCGTGAACGTAAATCTAAATCTCTCTAATATGCGTTGAATGTTTCACATATTTTCGTCTCTTTCTTTTGTAAATACACTCGTGCAAATTAATCCCAAATTGGACTTGAAACCGTATTATTACCAAGAATTTTTGAGACATATCACTCTAAAACAATACCGACGAATGAGCCGATTTTGTCAGCAAAAATGGCAAAGTTATGGTGTAAGCAAAAGGTCGGGCTAAAGTAAGATTAGTAATTACCTTCTCCAAGCACAGCAAATGTTTCTTGTCGATTTTTCGAAATAGGCAGCTAAAAGCTAGTCTTGCAGCTACCAATAACGTTTTGATGTATTCAATTAAATAAGAAATAATTATAATAAATATTGACATACTTTACCTTGCATGATACAGGCAAGGGAAATCTTGCAGAAAATAGAACAACGAAAATTGTATAAATTCATTGGGTACACGATTCCCAAAGACATCCCAGACGAGGTGAGTCTCAACTGATCAAACTGAACTATTTTCTTGGTTTACTTCTTCTCACTGCGCGACCCGGCTACAAATTCCCTGATGCTGATTGGCCGAGATCCGATCATCCGCCATATTTATTTATTTATGAGCCCGCGCGACTTTTAAGAAAACCGCATACGCGTCCATGCCACAGGAAGACCAATCAAGTAAATTATATACCACAGGAAGACCAATAACCTAATTTATTTCTGACTTCCCCCTTGACTACACATATTACCACCCCACAAACAATACATTTTCTTTGTAGCGGAAAGTTAAAACAGCAACGAACAAAATTTGGTTATGCGTGACTGATGGCGAGAGGCTCAAAGCTGGGGTCGGGTTGTTTCATAAAGGCCGCGCTGTTTTTTTACATAATGGCCAGTGTTTAGTACTACGAGTAAAACAATAACATAACATAAAGACCCAACGCTCAAATCAAGAAATATTTTACCATTCAACTATTCACTTCATGTAGAATCAGTACTGAAAGTATCATATCAGAGGTTGAGTGCACTTCGAGGTATATTTACCAACGTTTCGAGCAGTTCATGTCATTCGTTTGACATGTGCTCAAAGCCATGGAATACAAACTACCGGAACTAATTATAGTTGTTTTTATCTGTCTAACTGCATGTAGAAAGATGCTTCTGCCGTGCAGAAAGAGATATTCGACATTGTCAAGGATAAAGCAAAAGAGTTGAAAGAAGATGATATCGTTGTTCAGGTATTTGTTATGCTAAACGACAAAGTTTTAAAGTTTGTTGTCAGTTTTYGTACATGTTCGATTTCTCTGAATATTTTTGGCCGATCTAGGAAGGCGTATCAAAATGAAACTTGAAATCTGGCTCTATCACAGCTTGCGAAGGTGTTGTAAAGCCTTGGGCTAGTAGTCGAGAACACTCTATCCTATAGTCCTTATAATTAGTCCGTGGCACAGCCAGAAGATATTCTTCACCAGATCGTATGTTACGGGAGGTAATATATTCCTTCAGAAGAACAACACTTTGTTTTAGCTTCTAAAATACTATCGTCATAGTTTCTCAGCGGCTGAGGCCGCAGGCCAGTATTTACTGTATGTAATATCTCCCCTGATATAAAACAAAATGTCACTAATTGTTATGCTTTGAACCATATTAACTATGTTTGAACTGTAGCTGACGCCTTTCAAGTATGGTGGTACGGATGACAAAGACCCAGTGGACAACGTTCTCTTCTTTGCCAAAGATAACGACAAGAAATCTTTTAAGATTAAAAAAGAACAGGTACATAAATGAGTTATATATACGGCCTGTGAATAGACTGGAGTGTAAGCACATAGTTAAGTTATACATGAACTGAACTGAACATCATGTGGTAACTAATGAATCTCATCATTGGCATGCACTCACTCACTCAAGAATATCCCGCAAACAKTGTTCTCTATATTTCTGCTACAAAAAGTTAGTATTATATTTATAAACATTCTATTAGGTTTAGTAAAAAAAGAACAAAACATTTTCAGTAGATATGAAATGAGGGTTCTGCGCCATGAGGARCGAGGAGCCGGCGGAGCCAGGCGACCACCCCTCCCCCATAATTTTCGGAGCGGTAAAGCCAGGCCCCAGACTAACCCCACTCCTCCCCCACATTTTTTACTGACTGCAAAAATGAATTTAGGAACAAAAGAGAAGGGGCTTTTTTTTCTAAGATTTTTGTTGAATAACCATTTTTGGCGATTTTACGCCATCCAAAACCCTTTTATATATATATAAAAGCCCCTTCTCTTTTGTTCCTAAATTCATTTTTGCAGTCAGTAAAAATTGTGGGGGGAAGTGGGGTGGTCTGGGGCCTGGCTTTACCGCTCTGAAAATTGTGGGGGAGGGGTGGTAGCCTGGCTCCGCCGGCTCCTCATGGCGCAGAACCCTCATTTCATATCTACCATTTTCTGCTTTCTTGTGCAGGTAAGCCGCATATTGCCCGAGGTATTTTTTGAAAAGGAGATAAGAGTTTACTGCAAGGAAAGAGAACCGACGATGATAGACATGATGAAAGAGTAAGTGATATTTACTTGTAAAACTGTCAAAAGTGACAATCCTTATTTCAAAGAATAAATGGGAAAGAAAGAAAAAAAAGGAACGAACGAACGAAGGAAGGAAAAAAACCACAGTAAATAGACTTTACTATAGAGATTTTTCCTTTTGGTATTCTAGTGCTATTTGATATCTACAAGTCTGAAGTTAAGGTTAAAATTTTTCCGAATTTAATTCCAAGGGCTATCGCCTGGAATAACCTCGTTCCCAAGCACTAACTTATCTATATTTCTATATCTTCATGTATTTCATAAGTGCTTATGCGGTCCACATATACTCATCTTTGCGTTAAAAATTCATCGTTGTTTGCTAAACTATTTGTGTGTTGTTGTTTTTGGTTAGAGTTTTACATAAAGGTTTAAAATGTTGTTAGATTTTAATTTTGCGCACTTTATTTTTCAGAGCCTTCCGTGACTGGTGTAAGGATTATGGCTATAAGACGGTAAATATAGACTTAATCCACTGTTTTCCCATTGCTGACCACGCGTCATTCCCATAAGTATCATTTCTTTTCGAATTTACCGATTCCGGGTCGGGTCCCAATTTTGAGCGATTGTTTAACGTTGTCCCAATCCGCACCTTTTATATAAATTAGCCTTAAAAACGGTCTTTGTTTTGTCGATTGCATTAATTAATTTTATATTTTCATGCTATTATTTGCAGTTTTACTCCTATTCTGAAGCAGAGGAAACTTAAGAACAACTACTCGAGGATGATGTTTTGGAAGCCTAAAAATACTATTTGTAGAGACTGACTATGAATTAGGAGAAGATGGAGTAAAGATTGCAATAGATTACTCAATAGAATTAAGGAAAGGTCTCTTATTCCCTTACAGTTGAACATTTCATTCTTGATATGGTCGCCTGCTAATCTACGACCAGTTCCCATTACCCTACATTCACTTATTATCTACCAATATGAATTTTAGTTTTAGTTTTTGTAGTCAGTGATACTCGATAATATATTTGGTTTTGATCGGGTAATTACTAGGGGTGGTCTAATACCCAGCATAATCCAGTCTTTCATACTGCTTTGATTATTTTATCCAATTACAAGCTTCGTTCTATTCTACCAATAGCGGTCGACTTAATAATTGATGCATAAAGAAACTTTATGAATTTTATGATTTTGCACTTAGCTTTAAGCGAAATTCATCTGTATACTGCTCTCTTAGCCTGAGCAGTTTTCGTATGACTGTGAAAAGCTTGTGGCACGARCACGGCAAGGCATACGCCAAACCAATAACACTGCGCGAGAACTCCCACTCCTCCAATCAAATACCCGGAACACGGCATAAACAAGGGGCAGACACGGTCTTAGCCGAGGTCAAGGCACTGCCAGACTAAATACTTTTTGCGCGAGTAAAAATCAGCCGATCAAAACTTTAGAAAACATCCCAAGCCACAGTCGCGACAAGACACGCATACATCTATTTAAAAAAAAACGTTGTCAGTCGGAAATACCGACGGCACCGAGCTTTWCACCGAGTCATACGAAAACTGGTGTAATCTTGACTATGTCTTACTTCTGTGCACAAAGATGAAAACTACTATAGTCATTTATGCAAAGTGCACCTAAAAGTTGTTTAACCACATTATGCCCAAAGTAAAAGATTTGCTAAATCTAGAAATTACTTGTTTGTTTGTTTATTATATAAAAAAAACTCGTAAGAAAGAAGCGTTTGTTTGAACAAAGTGTTACCATGCTCGGGATGGGGTCCCACACGCAGCGAAAAAATAGAGAGACACCAAAGGAATAACGTTTATTAAAGGGAATGCCGGCCTGGGAATGGCAATCGAGGGTGGCGTAGCGGCAAGTATTTCAGTCGTCTCTCACCTTTGGTTTGATTCCTAGATTCGATTCCTAGATCTCTGGGTTTGATTCCTACATCTCGGGTTCGATTCCTAGATTCGATTCCTAGATCTCTGGGTYTGATTCCTAGATCTCCGGTTCGATTCCTAGATCTCGGGTTCCATTCCTAGATCTCGGATTCGATTCCTAGATCTCGGGTTCGATTCCTAGATCTCGGGTTCGATTCCTATATTCGGCATCGCATGTGAGTAGTGTTTGTTAAGTCTCTCCCTCCTTGATTCGAGGGTCTTTTTCGGGTTCTCCAGTTTTCTTCCCTCTCTAAAATCTATACCAAGATAAATTCCAATTCGATCTGTAAATTAGCTCTGCCGTACAGGTCAGTTGTTTCAGGGTTCGATCTATTAGTTATAGCTATGTCCTGACTTGACTGACTTAGATCAGCCAAGAGGTTGTTTCAGAGCATCGAAAATCTGAAGGTTTTTTGAAGGTGTTAGCCGAATCACTTCTAATCAGAAATAATCGACGGAGGTGCTCAATCATTCCAGCTATCCTTTCAGTGAGACCAAATAACCCTGAATAACTATCCAAAACCGTTATCCAGTAAGGATTGTAAACGGTGTGACGAAATAAAGAAAAGTAGACCCGTACTGCTTTGGGGTCTTGGCCGATCTGCCGACCCTTATTGTCCATCATCGGCCTTTCTCCTCAATTAGTTTTGATAACCTTCCTAGAAACAGCTATACACTTTTCTTTAATTCTATTATTTTGAAACATAAAAAATGCTATAATATATAGTTAAATAGTCTAAAGTTTTATAACTAGGTGCTAGATGAATAGTACGTCTTTCTGATAGTATTTTTTTATTTAAAATTGTTGATAATAATTATTTTTTAAAGAAAAATCTAACCGTCACTTAAAAAATTTAATAATTCATGAAGGAAACACAATAGAAATCATGACCGTGAAGGAGGTTTTTTATCTGATATAGATTCGTCTTCATTTGCATAAACTTGAACTTGGATTTTCTCTATCCAACTTGGTTCATTTCGTAAAGAATTCGGTACAATATGAAAACTTACATCATGAGTTTTTTAAGCCGTTCAATAAACTCGCAGATCGTGTTTTATCGGGTATAAARCCACTCGCCTACGCCTCGTGTTGTATACCCGATAAAACACTCCTGCTCGTTTATTAAACATTACGAAATGTCCGAAAACGTGACTGATATATTTTCAGTTATTCACGTGACGACAAAAGTACCAAACCAGACATACTATGAGTAAAGACAATATTTCTTTTGCGCAGTTACGATAAGTCATTTCTATCTTGGTGGCTATCGTTCGCTTGTCAGTACTACAGTTCTATATGAGTCATTTCTTGAAACTGTTCATCAATACAACATCTTGGTCTCATAAAAATTAGATGACCAAATGTTTTGTAAATCCTTGAAACACGCATTCTTTTAATAATAGGTCACTCTTGATTTCTTAGAAATATTTATCGGCTAGGGTCAGCTGGTGGGAAAATCAGTCACGTGACAACGAAAGCGAACCTGAAAGAATCTATAACGATAAGCCGTTTCTATCTTGGTGGCAAGGATAACTAACGATCGTTTGCTTGTTTCCACAGTTTTATAGAAGTCGTTTTTTGAACTGTTTATCAATACATGAAGAATCTTGGTCCCATAATAGCCGAATAAAGGTTTTTTTAATCCTTGAAACGAGCATACTTAACCAGCTTAAAAGATGTCATAGCAACATTGATTGACGCACACCAAAAATCCCCTCCATTTCTTGGAAATGTTTATCGTCTGAGGGCAGCTGGTGGAAAATTATTCACGTGACATCTAAAGATATACTAAAAATCAGGTTCTCGTTCTTTTTCTTAAGCTGCTGCTTCTCTTCTTCATGAACTAATTCCTGAAATAAAACATGCTAAGTCAGTGCGGAGTTTCACCTCCAATTATTGGCATTATCACCAGGTCTGAGTATGTTAAGATTTGGTGGTAGTACCGACGATTGGAGGTGAGACTTCGTCTGTCGTTCCTTTTTCCCTCATTACCTTTGTCCTTGCTAGTTTCACTCATGTAATATTAATTATCTTAACTTAGTGCACATATTCCCTTTTATCATTATTTGTACTTTTATAGATCTCAATTTTAGCGATATATTATTATTATTATCATATATTTAACATTTAATCTAATTCTTATCAATATATTTATTACTATTTATTTTATACAAATGTAGCTTTACATACTTTAGTGTTGATAAGTTTCTTCAACTTTCTGGAAAAAAAGTTTGTTATTATTATTATTAAAGAGACTACCAAACAAGGCATACAGAAAATATGCATTTTACGCTTTTGTGATCCTTAAAGAAAAGACTCCAGCTTCTAATTTTAAGGCCATTTCTATTTGGTGTCGAAGATAACTAACGATCGTTCGCTTGCGCTACAATTCTATTCGAAATGGTCGGTAAGTGAGGACATTATAATTAACTCTTTTCTCTTTCTGTGTCCGATTGAATAAAACTCAATCTTATGTACTTCTATCTTAGATAAAAAAATGCCTTCCAATAACTAATAACTTTTTAAACTCGACACTGATCAGCATTCGCTCTATATATACCTATATATGTTCTGAAGTCGTCGCTCCTTTTTTCTCAGCCCTTTTCAGAATGCTACTTCGCTCTGTAAAAGTTACTGCAAAGTGTATAGGAGACAGTGTTTTTCCAAACAAAAGTAAATCCAAATCTTATCACTAATTATAAACTCGTCTCACTACTCTTTCTCTCGTTTCTAAAGTTCTGGAACACGCCGTCTTTAACAGAGTTTCATACTTCAAAGTCAAAAGCGATAGTAGGCGATAAGCGATAGGAGATAGGTCATTCCAATGACTTGTGTTTCTTATTATTACTAGTACTCTCATCAAGAACATGGTGGTTAACGTTGAGATTTTCAGTTTGGTTTGGTAGTCGACAAAACCATTTTTGAAAGGCCTCGATTTTCCTTTTTAGCATAAACCTACTGGCATACTATCCGTCTTGGCATGACCTATCGCCTATCCCTTATCGCCAATCTCCTTTGGCCCCGACAACGGCATATACACTCAATGGTTTGTGTAAAACGAAATCTTTGGAAGTTTTAGCATTCTAGAAAAAAATAGAACACTATACACTCATATTCATTCTTTACGTTGCAGACGGGCCAAAAGCTAAGGTAAGAAATATCAGTGGAAACTGAATTTATCGCATCGCAACATTTTTCTAACCAAGAACCACACACGGAAACGATTAATTATACAGCTCTATTAAAAATATGTGCCTCTAATACTTCATACCATCATTAATAATCTCACTTGTTACTCCTTTTACTTGATTCATCTTTAGTTCCCACTCATAAGTGACTTTTTTTGTATTAGATATTCAATGATTCTATCCATGGCTATATTGAGATGCATCCACTATGTGTCGCTATCATCGACACGGAACAATTTCAACGTCTTCGCTGCATCAAGCAAATGGGTGCGTTACGTTTCGATTGACGACTGATTTCAGTTCATTTTTGTAAAGAAAAGTGTTGTTATTCATCATAAAAATGGTTCATTTTAGGTGGCACTTATTTTGTCTATCCGGGAGCATCGCACAACAGGTTCGAACACTCAATAGGGTAAGTCGATCATTGGATCATTGGACTTATGATCTAATGTTAGTATTTATATATGTTTAGCATTTGGGTGTGGATTTTTTTTTTTTGCTAATTTTAAAGGGTTCACCTGGAAATAAAGTTTACATTTAAATTAACATGTAATTTTTTTAAACATTCACGTACGACGATATTCGTACTCCAACGAAGGACCAACGCGAAAGCTCAGCATAATATATATATATTTAATTTTACGGCGTTCAACTTTATCCACCGTTTATGCTTTATACATCGACGGTACTCGAACTTATTCATTTATCTATTTGTTATCTTTACGACTAGTACTATGCAAAAAAGAAACCACAAACCCAAACACATGCAAAAAAAGAAAAAAAGGAAGTAAAAAAGAATAAAAACTAGTTAAGGGAAAGGACAAAAGGACAAGAGTCCCATATGAAGTTCCTCCAACACAAACGTTTTATGAATAATAAATACTTAGAAAAAGCTACAAACATCAGGTGTAAAAGCAGCATTTAGAACAATATGTCTTCCAGGTTCTCGTTCTGTCGACGTCAAAGGTAGAGTCAAATATTTGGAAAAATAGTGTCTGTAACTAATAGAAGTTTATACTTGCCCTCCCAAGCTTTCTTTCGTATAACATGTAGTTTGTTCTATTGTTCGTAAAACCGGACTTGCTTCAATAAATATTTAACAGCAGCAACGAAAAAAAAAAGAATTCAACGCTTGATAAGTACTCAGGGATCGTACGCTAAAACAGCCCCATGATGCAGAGCGCGCCCTACTTGTTACCAGTTTTCCGCGCAACCTCGGAAAGGCCAATATTGGCCAATATAGTATACATCTAGTAAAATTTATTTTAGTATTTAATCAACTTTTACAGGACATCCTATCTTGCTGGCTATTTCGTAGAAAGCTTGAGAAGGAAACAAGGAAAAGAGTTAGATATTGAAGAGAAAGACGTGTTATGCGTCAAAATTGCCGGCCTTTGTCATGACTTGGGTGAGTAACTGAAGCTTTAAACAGACCTCTTAACTTTGAACGTAATGATTATTCCATTTCAGACCACGTGTCATTCTTTTGAGAATGAGATTCTTTGTTTAAGTCGTATCGATATTCATGTGTCTTCTCATGTGAACCATTTAACAAAAAAATGATACTCTAGGGAAAAACACGTGGTTTGAAATGGAAAAACATTACACCCAATGTAATTCTAAAAAGGGACTAAAAAGGTCTATTACTCCACAGTTTTGAAAATAACATTGTGGATCATTCGATAATTTGTGAATAATTCGTGATTATAGCTATATTCCAAACAATCGATTGCGATTAATACCCGATAAAGTCATCCCTTTACGCATGCGTACGAAGAAGTACCTCTTCCAAGAATTCAAGAACGCATGACAAAAAATGCTCGATGCTTGAAATGCTACTTTTCGGCTTATCATCATCGATATTATTTTTWAAAAAATTCTGAAGCCGTCTAATTAATTCGCGGTGGTTTGGTTTTATAAGAGGTAAAAACACAAACACAAACTAACACTCCTGCTTGTTTACTAAACTATACGTAATATATTTGGTACTTTGTCAGGGCATGGACCGTTTTCCCATATGTTTGACAACGATTTTATTCCAAAAGTGAGACCTTTGCTGGAGTGGTCGGTAAGTTTATTTTTTTTATTCATTTGATAATATTTTTTCATTTTACTATTACACCGTCCATGTAGGGAGTGATTGCTCGGTCGAAGGCTCAGGAGTAGCCTGGTAGTCGCTATTTTTCTAATTAGAATTTTTTGGGACAAAGCCCCATTATTTGGATCCTGGACMCAATAACCACAGTTATCTGATCTCTGAATTTTGTATTCATTTTCAGCATGAGGTAGCCAGTGAAAAAATGTTTGACCATCTCATTGAATCGAATGGAGGTGTTAAGAAAATGTTTGAAAAAAACGAGCTCGGTGACAAAGACATATGTTTTATCAAGAAATTAATGACTGGTGAAACACCAAAATCTGAAGAGGTATGAAAACCGCTGATTAGATCAAGCGTATGGAACAAGCCCAGCCATTAATCATTATTATTATTATTATTATTATTATTATTA